CGGACCAGATTCGTCCCAGCGAAGAGGAAGTCGGTGAAAAAAAAAAAGAAGGATTTAAACGTTGATTTTATTCCAGTCAAATGTATCATCACTGCGGACAGGAAGGAGACACCTGAGATTACGGAAGTACATTTTGAAGACCGCTGCAGGTAAAACAACAGCTTTGTTTCGATGTGTGAAGTAATGTGCTGAGCGCTGAGTTCATGAACCGTGTGTTTGTGTGCTAGTTGTTTGGTTTAGTTCCCCTGCTCGCGTGTAATACGGCAGTAACCGACTCTATGTTCAGTTCACAGCACACGGCCTGTGTTGTGTTTGCAGCTGACAGAGGACAAAGGCGCCATTTACATTTATGCTAAGTGTTAATGTGTGGTGTCATAGTGATATTATGAGATAGCTAAATTAAGCTAACTTCCTGAGCTAACTGGGCTACTGGGTAACTCAACCACACTAGTTTTGTTGTTTAATGTACATTAAACATTTCCAAAGCTAATGTGTAATTTTTATGCTACTGAGTATCACTGTTCACTGTGGAGATTAAATACAAAACTGGTTAATCTACATAACCTTAAACTGCAGTCATTAAATCATTGACTAATCTAACTTTTCAAAAGTGATATATGATTCATTTGAAAACCTGTGTACAATTAAGAAAACCAATAAACTGCTAAGAGTCAAAATAACTGCTATAAAATGATTTTATATACTGATGGTGCTGACAAAAGTCTAGTGCGGACCCAGCATACATGTCATTTATAGAAAAATATCATGACTGGGAGGTTGTTACAAAACATGGTTAAATAGCCAAAACCTAATTTAATAAAAATGTATACATAAGTTTGTAAAATAATCAAGATATATCCTTTAAAATCTTAACCTGTTTTGTCCCTGATCTAATGTACTTTTAGTAGTAGATGATAATATTATTTTGTAGACATGCCAGATGCTGCAGAGAGCAGATGATAAGTATTTTGTTGAAGATCTTTGACTTGTAGAAATAGTCTGTCACAGGTAAAAGTCCTGTGACCAAAATGTTGCTTCAGTAAAAGTTTGCAGGTTGAGTATTAAGTATTACCAGCATTAGCAAAAGTAAAAATACTCATTATGTAGCAGACCTCTGTGACAGATATAGGCTTTTATTATTAATTCAGTTATCAGTTTATTAGGTACATTCAGCTATAACTAATGCAGTCTAATACGATAAATCCTCATTCATTAATTTTATTTATTTGTATTTATGAATTTCATTGAGAGTAGGCTAACCAACAGTAACACCTCTCTGTATAATGTAATACGGTTGAACAGCACCAATAAAACAAACATGAACATTATAACCTGCATGAAGGTTGGTAATAATGTATATTAATTGGATCATATTTAATGATGTATGTAGCTGGTCATTAATATATTTATGAGTTCTTCTAACAGTTTGTATCTATGAAATTAGTCCAGCTGTAATGTAATTATATTGGCGTCAAAAGAACAATATTTCCCTTTTGAAATGTATTTGAGATAAATTAGCTAATAAAGTAGCAGAAAATGGAACTACTCAAGTAAATGACAAGTACATCAAAACTGCGGTTTGTACATGAGTAAATGCAGTTTGTTAATAAATGTGATGTGAGTTTCGTATATTTTCCTTCTGTGTAGGACAGAACATGGCAGCAGACTAAACTGTTATCGAAAGTATTTGGCACCTGAATCATCATCATCATCATCATCTTCATGTAGCTCCGAACATGATCTGATGACGTCAGCATTGCTGCACTCGAGGTGCCTGTCAGGCAAACAGAAACCCCCTCGTCCTACACCCTTCTGACGCCTGAACTGACAGGTGGAGACAGGTGGCCAGATGTGTGGAGGTAAGAAGTGTGTGCAGGATTGTAACTGCTCTCTCAAGCTCTCTTGGCTTCATTCTTCACGCAACTACTTCTGTCACTTCTCATATGTACAGATGAGTGCAACAGTGTGTGCCGTTATCTCCATCTGAACGATTATCACGTCTCAGCCCCTCTGTGATGGCAGGCTTCGAGTGCGCCTGTTGAGAGCTGCTACAAACACTTTTACCTTCAGACATGGTTGGACGACATCTTGTTGGTAGTTAGTTGGTAGCTTTATTTTGAGCATACCGTGGCTTAAGCTAAGGGATATGATGGTGGCTGCTGCTTGTCCTGATGTTTTTCTGTCTCCTTGCGGTTGGAGTTTGAGTAACGCATCTTTGTTGGAAGTGACAGCATCACAACAGAAATATACCAATACTCCATTGCAAGTAAAAGTAGTTGTAGAGTGTTTTAATTAGTGAGCTTTAGAGTTGTTGGTAGGCAGATGTTGTTTCCTTCAGACAGAGTCTGGCTCACTGTTTCCAGTCTTTTGGCTTAAGTTAGTTAAATAGTTTAAATTAAGCTTTGTTAACCGTCTCCTGTTGGTCGCTTCAGATTTACCATGAGAGTGGTATCGATCTTCTCACTTAACTCTGGGCAAGACGGTGAATAGGCATACTTCCCAAAATGTCAAACTATCCCTTTAATGTAGCAAGTCCAGATGTTAGGCTGTATTGGAAGCCAATTGTGGTTCAATATGCAACTTGCACCACTGTGATATGTAAATCTGAAACCTCCAGCACACACACAAGGACAACAGGAGACATCTTGTGTCCAGAGGTTAAACTTGAAAGACGGAGATGTAATTTTACATAGATGTTTGAACTTTTTTTTTTTTTGCTGAAAAACCACATCAGATACAAATTACTATTCCAAACAGAGTAGTATCATACATCAACATGCCTGGAGGGGTTCTGTAATGTTAAATTTAAAATCTTTGGCTGAAATGCAACAGCTGTAAGATAAATGTAGTGGAGCAAAATGTTCAATATTTCCCTCCGTGTTGTTGTGGCGTGGTATAAAGTAACGCAAAATGAAAAATCAAAAGAAAAATGCACAAAAATAGAAATGGTTAAATAGTATTCCAATAATTGCACTTAACGTTCAGCCTCTGTGCTTGTTGCCGTGGTTTTTCTTCACTGCAGACCACCAGCCATGTTGGAGCTTGTACCCTGTCATCATGCCTCCTCCCCCTGCTGGTGCTGAGGTCTGCTGCTGATGCTGAGCAGGTCTGGGTGGTACCACTGCTCCTAAAACACACAGGCACACACACACAGGCACACACACACACACACACACAACTGCCCCGCAGCGAGGGTTCATATAGCCATAATTACACTCCTGCCAGAGCTGTAGGAAGTGGGGCGGCTGCGGGTGGGAACAGTGGAGAACTCTCAGCAGGCGGCTGGGAGCAGCGCATTGAAGGGAGCTCAAAATCAACCCAACTAAGGGCCACCGCGAGGCCTAATTACTGAGTGAACATGACTAATGATGAAGCTGCACTCTGGTGCTGCTGTGTCCGAAATGTGCAGCCCAATCAGCCCAAGTCGCACTCCCAGGTGTGTAATTGTAGCTATAGCAGTGCGTTACCGCTGTGCATAGACCTCCCACGATGCATGCTGCTAAGAAATGATACCTGGAGAATGATGGATCCCCTGTAGCGTGGACCACGTAGCTGCAGCTTCCATAGCCGCATGAGTACTTACTCTATGTTTGTGAAATATGTAGCATAATATAATTTCACAAACTGAGGAAGCTCTGTATGTTTGTGCAAAAATAGAGTTTATTTTCCATTTCCACGTGAGAAGAGGTTTCCTATTTGCCACTGATGAGTGTGTGGATGGTTTCAGGGGACATGGGGGAGTGAGTGTGAGTGATTTCTTAAAAAAGCGTTTTGCAAGAGAGAAACAATCACTCTGCCCAGTGATCCTCTCCTTGGAGATTTCCTGGTAGTTGGTTGTGGTGACTGATGGTAGTAACTTCCCCTACAATCTCTCTCTCTCTCTCTTGCTCCCTCTCGCTCTCTCTCTCTCTCTCACACACACACACACACACACACACACACACACACTCTGTATGCATGTCCACAGAATTGCCACAGCAGTGTACCTTTGAATTATTAGTTTGTCAGGTTGAATTCCTCAACATTTCAGCAGGTTGTTCAATCAAGAAAATGATGAATTGGAAATGGAGCTCCTCTGAGAGAGCACAGCTTCTCATACAGTCTCCCAGCGATGACTCTATGTGTGTGTGTGTGCGCGCGCGCGCGTGCGTGTGGGGGGGCGTCACTTTTTATTGGCCAGAAAAAAACAGAGGAAGGAAGGAGGCTGTGACTGAAGCTGTAGGAGTTTGAGGAGCTGTCCAGATGCTGAAAGAGCATCAAGAAGCCTTTCAATTAGTAATAAGAGCTGGTGGCTCTGGAGGAGCTGATGTAATTTTAACACTAGGTGAAAATAAACTATTCACCCGTTGCGTGTGACCTAAAGGTTCAGCTTCAACGTTTTATTTTGACGTTAATTTGAAGAGGTGGGTTCTTAAACCAAAACAGCAAGAAAATGAAATTGGAGCTGATTCAATTCGGTCTAAAATATTTCACCTGTATTCATCAGTCATCTGTCATCTAAAAAAACATGGCCGTGTATTGACGACCATAGATGCTTATTTATTTTCTGTTAGAGGCTGTTAAAACCAATTTGGACCAAAATAACGACCCCTCCTGCCACTGATCAATAGCTTGAATCTGCACTGAATGTCAGTCGCAGCCCAGCGTGTAGGAGAATGCAGACAGGGGGGCGGGGTGGAGTTCACAGCTTTTACTTTTCAAACGCTCCTCTGGCAGAAGAGCTCATTCTTCTTTGCCAGGCAAACAGCGGAGTTGGCGTTGATGCGTCCTGCCATGTGATCCCACTTTAGTCAGATCAGTCACCTCGCCGCCGCAGCAGCAGCCTCCCATTAAACTTTCCATGCTGTTGCCCGTCCAATGGACAACACTTAGGAGCTTTGCCTGGACCTTACCCGCTCCTGCTCGCTCGCCCGCTGCGCTCCGGCTCTCCACCGTCGGCTCTCCAGGTTTAGAGGGACTCACGCGGGCCGGGGAGTTGGCCTGGGTCTCCCGCCGCACACATGGAGGGAGACGTTATGGACAAAGTGGAGGCCACGGCGACGGTCCGTGACTTCGACCCCATCAGTGGGAGCATCCCTGCCACCAAAGTGGAGATCACCGTGTCATGCAGGTGAGTCCGCTCCGCTGCTGCTGCTGCTTCTGCCGTGTCTGCGTCAGGGTTTGGGGAGCTCCGCGCGCTTTGGGTGCGTTTTGCGGAGAGAAGACTGGACTTGTAATGAGTAGTAAATATTTTAGTTCTATAAAACACAACCTGGTCTTGTTATGTGTCATGAAAAAGAACTACTATATTGTAGAAAGAAAAACTTTATGAAAGGTGAAACGACCACGAACGCTGTGAAGGTAAAATCCTCGCGGATATGTCTTTGCTGTAAAGACGCAACAGACATACAACACCTCATTGTATTATTTTCAAATTTTAGAGACCTTTTGTTATATTTTTAAATTATAAATCCACACAGCATTAATTACCATTGCAGTAATGTATAGAATTTCACAGTTAGACAACACGCTGCAAGTCTGACCGTGCCTAAACTTTTACGCGTTTCTGTTTGTCTTATTTATGGTGAAGACTGATTCTTCGGTGTCCGTTTTGATAAAATCCCTGCCTCCGGCAGTCTCGTGAGTCTAGAGCGCTGTGTGTTTTGCGCGCGCAATGTCGCGTGCCACAGGAGATATCGACCGTCGTGGAGTTCGCTGGCGTGCCCGTGAGGTTTCCCCCGAGGCAGCGTGACATGCCTGAAGCTTGACGGGTTCCGAAAACGTTGCAGCAACGTGAGGACCACAATTATCACTAAATCTGTCCTCCCTCCTCGTCCACTGGCGTTTAACTCAATCCCTCTGCCCCCTAAACCAGCACACACCACGGAGATGGCAAGTGCTTCGGCTGGGAAGGGTGGGGCAGCGCCGGTTGCAGGTAGAGTCACTGTATCACTGTATACAGTATGCTGCTGCAACATACAGTGGCTTTATATAGGTCGACAAGTACAGTTGGTGCAGTTTTAATGACAGTTTCTCATGGAAATTGGTGTTGATCTGTGTTTCCCTGGCCTCCCCAGCTGTGTGTCATTTTGTTCTAATCCACAGTGCTTAGCTCTTTTGTACTTCCTGGCTACATCAGTGTTATATGCATGTAAATGATGTGTTCCCATGTGCACTGCTGTTGAAACCGATCCTGTAGCGATTTCATAAATCAATGTACATACAGCCACAGGCCAGAGATTTAGCAGCCAAACACCCCACTGCCATCCTTCTCTCCTCTCATCTGCATTCCTCTTGAAACCTCACTCAGTCAGTTATTTGCGGGGGGGGGGGGGGTCTGATCGATTGTTTCTCTTGTTGAAAACACTGTTTCATCATTAACTGTTCAACGAATCCAGAATTGCTGTTGCCATGCAGGCGACCTTATAACCCATCCTGGATGTTAATTAATTAGTCATATTTCAAAACAAGTCTGTTAACCTTTATGGAGTGGACAGGTTGAGATGGATGGTGCAGCAGTGGAGGGTGGGGGCTATTTAAAGAGGACGAACCTCTACATTGGCTTTCTGTAGGATCCTATGTAAAACTGAGGTGAGAGTGGGCGTGTGTGACAAGTTTGTGTATAAGGTTGGCATATGGAGGTTGTGTCAGGTTGTGTGTGCGTTTTATCCATCGCTGGGTGTTTGTTGCGAGTCGCAGCTGGACCCGTGCTGTTTCCCTCCTGGTACACACGATTGTTTTTTTCCCTCAGACCTTCATACTTTAAGCTGCGATCTGTGTTGATGCCCCCAGGCTCTGTCGATCTGCAGCTCCCTTGTTTGTCATTAATGTCTCTCCAAAACAAAGACTTGCTCGAGGACACAGTTTGATAGAGAATATAAATTCATCCCTGCTTTCACCGGGCCTTGAAACATTGCCTGTCTTAGATTACTTCAGGTTCTGTCTGTTCTTCTTCTTTGTGACTTGTGGAAATTGCTACAGTAGCTCATGTCTAACCTCTGACGACTGCTTCAACACCTGTGAGACGCACAGCCATGCATGCAGCCACCCCACCCCGCCCCCCACCCCACTTATCAGCAAGTGTGTATTTGTACCATCCAATAGAAGCAAGTAGAAAACAATGGGTGTCACTGGATGAGAGGCACAGGCTCAACAACTCTGTGTAATTGATTAAGTAAGCCTGAAAGCTCGGAGAATGCAGCGCACATGGAACTGCTTGCAGCCCTACAGGCATTCTCATAACCCTCTGCCAATATTGCAGCAAGCCCCCTGACAAACTGGAGGGACTGAGGGAGACAACTCCTTATCAAAGCAAGTGCATACCGCTGTGATCGCACATTGTTCCCTGTCCATGGCTCTGATTGGTTTTGCTCACAGGTCACCCAGTGAGCCGAGCCCACAGCATCTGCTTCTTGGCTGCAAGGGCTACGCTCAACGACAAGATGGCTCTTCAAATTCAAAGTGGCCTCTATTCCTATATCTGCCTTACCAAACACATGACAGTGAATACAGTTCAGTGGGTTAAGGCCAGCGGTCCCCTGGTGCTTTTACAGGCGCGATCCCACCTCTTATGTGGCAGCAATGAGTGTGTTCATTAGTTAATATTTAAGTAGCACTGATGAATAATTCATAAGTTGTCTATGCGGTTTGCTACATCATGCTTTAATTATGAGCAAAGTAGTAAATGTGAATCCTAGTCGATTGTTCAATGTGCCCTTTCTGTATCTCAGTGTACCAGATCGTCTCAAGAGTTCCCATGTACAATGACTTAAGGGAAACTGGGGCTTCAGCTCTGTGGTTCCACTGTGAAGCACATTTTTAGTAATGAATGCTGGAAAAAATTTGCCCATAGACAGAAACCACAAAGCCCTCAAAGGCTTGACACATGGATTTTCATTTAATGAATAGATTTTTTTTTTTTTTATCTCTTCCTCTTTGGTCCATCACTGTACAGATCCATGTGCAGGATGTCAGTAATGATTTGTAAATGGACTGTTTACTGTATGTGCCTGCGTGACCAGAACGAGGGAGGAGAATCCTGCTGATAAGCTTGACAACCCTGAAAAAAGGTTTACAACCCTTATCAGAAAAGAGCGAGGGAAAAAGAATTTCTTGCTCCTGAGAGATTGCTTGTTGACATCTCATATTTTAGATAGTTACCATCCAGACAAGAGCGAGGGGAAAGAAAAGAGCAGATTGATTTGATGAAAAGCCCAGATTTGGACATTGTATCATTGTAAGTGCATGACATACATTTTTGGCCAAAAAAACCACCAGGCACAAGGATGTAGCTTGATTTTTTTTTTCTTTTTCTTTTTTCTCCAATTATAAAAATGTATTGGTCCTTTGCAACATGTCATAACACACCACATGTATGCTGTTGAAAGAGAAATTGGCGCACAAAGCTGCCGTCCCTTCCACTCAGCCTCCCAACTGACAGTTTGAACATCGAACTTTTATCAGCCCCCGTTGCCCATTTCATCAGGACGAAGACTCTTCTTCTTGTCCATCCCCTCCTCATCTCTGCTGTGGCTTCAGAGCTCACACTGTAACCATTCATTCGCTGTGATATATTGGTTAGAGTAGCACTGCATCCAATCAATGCATTCCATAGCTGGGAAGGGGGGTTTAACCCAGCCAGGCCACTCTGCTCCCGAGGGATCCATTACCTGGTGAAACACACAAGAGGTCACGTGACTGCCAGCATCCTGTGACAAATGCTCTTAGGAGAGGATCCCCGGTGCAGAAGGTCAGTGATTGCTGTTCCCTGAGGTCAATCTGAAAACTTGCTTCTTGATGTGAACCGCCCCTGAAGCACTCCTTGCAGCAGAGGGGGAGGTTTAATGAAATCATCAGGATGATTAGGATGTGTGGCATCGCGGCTCGATCTGTCAAAAACAATTGCTTGAGCGCAGCGATTGGGATTCAAGCTGTGTACCCAACTTATTCTTTATTCGAGTGCATTGCTGTGGCCTGTAACTCTGCTGCTGTTGTTGTGTTAATAGCTGTTGTAGCTGTTGATCACATTCAGTCTTGGTTACCCATTCAATCAAACCCTGTGACCTGGTTTTTCTGGTTGAAACATCCTTTTGTTTTGCTCTGGCAGACAGCAAAGTTTGAACTGAACTAGTTTGCATTGTGCAAGAGCATAAAATATTAATAAAAAATCTCTGAGTAGGAGAGAAATTTCAATTTGCAGTGTTTTTACTGTGCCGTTCTTTTCATATCGTGTTCTGGGTTAAGACTGACCTGAGGCGAGCTCGCAGCTTTTATCTTGTGGGATGACTTGTGTCTGTGAGTGATGTGTCGCATCTGTGTTGGGGATCGAGGCTGAGAGACATGAGGGTGCCAAGGGGTGGCAGATTTTTTTTTTTTTTTCTTCCAATTTTGGGGATGTTAAGATTGCAGCAGGCGAGTCTCACAAGCCAATGAAGCGGATGATTATGCATGAACCCCTGACACAGTGAAAATGAGTTTGGATCCCAGACACTTGGCTTGTGGTGGTGTCAGTGTTATTAATATATTCTCATTTGGGATGTATGACAGCAGAGGGGGATCCCATGGAAACACAGTTGTGCTGCCATGCCAGTGCTTTATAACACTCTGCATGTTGCCTGTGTCATCTGAAAGTGTTGATTGGAATGACAGGAAAAGTCAAGAGTGTGGTGTAGCAAAAAGAAATCAAAGCTGTCCCTCTTGGCTCAGAGGTATCAAGCTGCTTTTGTCACTATTTTCAAAGCACCTTAAGGGTCAGCAGAGTATGTTAGTGGATTTCTGCGTCGGGGATATTTGACCCGAAGATCACAGCTTGTCGAGGAAATGTGAGCTGGTGGCAGATTTGTTCAAAGTGTGACAGGTTTCACAGTGACGATTTCACCACATTGTGTTGCATATGCTGAAGGTCTCTCGCTTGTTGACAGTCTTAGCCAAAGGGCTTAAGAAGCTACTCATTATCAGCTTATTGTCATGTGTGTAGACGTATCCGTTAGGAATTTCTCTGTTAGATACATTAGTATTTTTGTGTTGCTAGAAGGGACATTTTTGCTCGTGTGGGTGAGAATGTGTGTGCGCGCCTTTGCTACAAATCAGAGTATAGAGCCCGAAACAACAGGCTTGATTTGTAGGAAATAC